GATTTGCTCTTTTAACAGCAGCTGCTTCGTACATTGGTGAACGATTTTGTTAAAAAAAAGCGTTGCTCGATGTATTTTAAACGCCTTTGTTTTTTCGCGTTTTCATGCAATGTTCCCTATATCGCATGAGATAAATTGAACTGTCACATGACATTCACGCCATCAGGTGGCATGATGAAATAACGTTTACGGGCTTCGTGTACCCTAGGAAGTGTAACTCGATCTGTGACAATTGTCAAGGATTAAAAGTCAAGATAATTGCTTTTTTTTTTAAAAAAAAAAAAAAAAAAAAAACCTTTCAGTTTTTACGTTTCTAAGTACCGTAATCAAGAATAAAGGATAATCAATAAGACACAAGGATGAGTGCTTGAAATCAGTAAATCTCTACCTCCGATCAGATATGTTTATGCCCTGAGAACCGAAACCCGCTACAAGAAAAGCAACGTTAATTCATTCAGGAGGATGGGTCTAGATGGCTTTGAAGTGAACTGAGCTCATATTTTAAAAAGGCATATTGCACCTTCAAATGAGAGCAGCCTTGAGAGGTGTGAGGTGCTGGTATCCCATGAAAAGCCCCTGGAACTGAAATTTAACAAAACAAGTGAAGTTCTTATCATTAAATTTCATTATGGATACTGGAATGTGAGCGGCATCCTGAAACATTGAACAAACAGGTGATATATCACTGGGTCCATTGGTTTTAATCATATGTGGACAAATTTGACTTGACATATAAATTTTTCAAGAATTTTTTTTATATACATATTAACTTGGGCTGTGTTAAATATTGAAATAAACTACCAAATCTCTTTTTGGATCATACATGTATGTGTAGAAATAATTGTGTCATCAAGTTTAATGTTATGTAGGTGGAAATCAAGTGACACTTTTTTTAGATACCACACCATAATGGAAAAAAGGTTACATAACCTACACCTAATTGTTTGAGTTCAGGACTGATTTTTCCTCCAGTAACACTCCTGCTTAATAGCCTTCATGATATCACTTGAGCAAATCTCACACCCTTCATTATCAACAGTTGACTTTGAAACTCCACAATAGCAGAACCTGTAGTCACAATCTCAAACTCTCTTAGGAATGTAAGAATTGGTGATATTCCTTTTCTTGATGCTGAATAAGCAATGCTGCTGGAGTCCCTTTCTCTCAGGCACACCATGTGGACTAGTCGGTGTCTGAACACTGTCCACCAGTTTAAGTTCTTTTTAATTGGCATTGCATTTGTTTTCCACATACTAAGCCAGCTTAACATGCTTTGACTCTCTACCCTGCATTGAATTGAGGCCCAATTCATGGCCAAGCCTCAGATGTAACTTGCTAGTGTGATAAGAGATAGCATGTCCAACTCTCCTCAGAGTAAAAGTGATGACATTAGGAAACAAACAGTTGGCACTGAAAAAGTGTTCGCATAAGGTCTTTAGCTTTTCCACTAGCTTAATGCTCACCTCAACTCTTGAGTGAACAGAAACTGCAACTCTGAATTTGACTGCAACAAATGCCAGTGTGAAGTTTCACAACTGACCCCTTTGAAAGAGAGCTGATCTTCAGAGGTTCCTGTATCAAAGTGGCATAATGCCAACAAAAGTACTTAGATTCAAGCCCAGTGAATCCATATGAGAATATTCTTGCTGAACCACTGCAGAAAGGCCCACACTTGACATTATCTTTCAGGCACTTCAAAACTGCAAGCAGAGGGGAACTGTGTGGAGGATCAGAGACTGTTGTTGCTACCTTGAGGTGACTCTGGTTTGTGTACTGCATTACAACAGAGAGTGCAGCTGAAAACTGGTTCTGTCAAGCACTGTTTGTGTTATATATTTTACATGACTTATTCAGATGCTGGGGATGCAAGAGTTACACCAACTTACTTACCATTTCCCTCATAAGAATAATTGTGATTAATCTTAAAATACTCTGTCAATCTCAGTCCCAAGTGACAGCCACACTGCCAACTTAAAACTGGTTAACAAAGAATAGGAGAAGATGCATTTAACATGTGTATCTTCTTAGCAATTATTGATTGGTCACTTTAGAACAAAGATATGAGGGAGTTCTGCCCCACTGATATCGATACATTTCATAACCATACAGATAGTGCCCTCCATCTGCTTAACATTCTAGACATTCTAACAGTAACTGTGTGTCAAAACAATTATTTAAAGGTTTTGCATCCACAGCACAAAGGCCTGCTTAAGTGGATCCTTCCAAATTCATTTTCAATATGCAGGTAATATCCATGGATACAACACCAGATATGCTTACCAACAAAATTTATGTAAACCTTTAGTGTGCAATAACTGAAAAACACACACTTGTCTATTCAGGAACTAATCTTTATGACAAAATCCTTCTAGACTCAATATAACTTAAAATCTTCAATTTCTTTGAGCAACACTCTGAACATTTTCCTTATATCTACCTCATCATTATCATAATTAACATTATCATAATTACTATTTTCTTTAAGTATAGTTCTGTTATCCCTCATTTGTTTTAAT